TCTTTCTTTCTTTCTTTCTTTCTTTCTTTCTTTCCTTCCTTCCTTCCTTCCTTCCTTCCTTCCTTCCTTCCTTCCTTCCTTTCTTTCTTTCTTTCTTTTTTTATCTGAGAACCGAACCCAGGGCCTTGTGCTCACTAGGCAAGCACTCTACCTCTGAGCTAAATCCCCAACCCCAAGAAATCACATTTTTCTGCCACCATCATCCATCCTGTGAAGTGAAGACCATTTGCGATGCTACCTATTCAGCTACGTATTCAGAGCTTGCTATAGCAAGAAGCTTGAAGCCTCTGCCACCACTGGTATTTCGTAGGCTCAAGGTAGGCACAAGAATAGCCTTTGTAGTTACAAAGAGGACTGATTTCAGGCATGCTCTGATTGGGGGCTGGTATGGAGAAGCAGCTGGAACATTCGTCTGGTAGAAACTCAGAGAACAGGCCCCAGACTAACAATGGCATGGGGGAGACATGAGGCAGTTAGATTGATCTGAGACGGTGACATGAGACCAGGCCGGGGTGTAGCTCAGTGGTAGAGCATGAGCTACCATGCTTACCATGCTCAAGGCCCTTCAAGACAAGATGTCAGAGTCGACAGAAGATGAGCTATAAAGAGAGGAGGAGGGACAGTCATGGGTGACTGTTGGCAATGTTCTCTACCCAAGGAGGGAAGAATACAGCTGTCATGAAGGAATGGAGAAGTGTGCTGAAGCTCAGCTCTTCCACTGAAAAGGTCATTGTATGATTGCTAAGGCTGCCCTGTCAATGTACCACAGACTGCCTGGAGTATATAGCTCAGTGAAGGGCACCTACCTCAAAAGTACTGGGTTTGATTCTCAGCACATTGAAAAAGAAAATAATAAACAAACCAAAGTACCACACACTGAAGCCAGACAGAGGAGGTGTCAAGCAAGAAAAATTTGTCTCTAGCCGGATGTGGCAGTGCATGCCTTTAATCTCAGAGGCAGAGGCAGGCTGATCTCTGTGAGTTGGAGGTCAGCATAGTCTAGCTAGAAAATTCCAGGCTAGCCAAGGCTACACAGGGGTACCCTGTCACAAAAAAATCAGGTCACTTCTCCTTAGCTCGCGTAGTCTGTTGTGGGGGGAGGATACTGAGTGGCAGTCCTAAAGGGGAGAGCATGACTTAGAGGTGCCCAGATACAGCGACAGTAGGTCAGCAGCCGTACTGATGGCCAGAGCAGGCTGTTCCTGCTGCGAGGCTGGAGGTCCGACTGCAGTGTGTCCAAACTGCATCCATTCCCAAGCTGGTGATCCAGGCTCCTGCCAACCCAGTGACCCTTTGTGTCCTGACAAGGTCCCCTGTGTCTCAATTAGCCTAGTGCTTGCCATCTAGAGCCCCAACCGAGGCCCGGGCAGAGTGACTCCCCAGTGCTGCTTCTGGGTACTAGAAGAGGGCCAGCCAGCAGGGCTTGCCTAACATTTTCAGGTGGGGTCTCAAGATTTACTCACCACAGCCTCTGCTGCTGCAGCAGTACATTAAACAGAGTTGTTGAAGAGACTACCATCAGTCTATTAGTTGGGGTTTTACTTGGCTGAATAGAAGAGAAAACCCCCCAATGATATTGTTTTATATAAAACTCAGACATATTTCTCTCCTACAGAAAAGAAGCAGAGCGAGGCATGGAAGCACAAACCTGTAATCCCATCATTTGGGAAGCTGAGGCAGGATCACAAATTCCATGCTAGCTTAGTCTGCATAACAAGACTAAAAAAAAAAGGCAATGGTGGCACACGCCCAATCAACAGAGTCAGGACAGCCAGAGCTGCTACACAGAGAAAAGAAGGAAAAAAAAAAAAAAAGACTCTAAGAGAGGGTGGCTGAGGCTAGGCAGCCAGAGACTGTGAGTTCCTCCTCCCGGGCCAGGCTTCTGTCCTGACCATCCTAGCACTCCACAAAGACAAAGGCTGGGAGTTAGGTGAGGAAAGATGGAGGAGGGTGGGGGCAAAAGACAGGTTCTTTAAGCTGAGTCAGCTCCTAGGAAGCAGTCCTCCCACATCTGGCCCTCACATCTCATTAACCATATTTATCTGCAAAGAAGGTCAGACGAGACTGCCTTTTGTCCTGGACAGCAGGGGGCCCAGCTGACACACAGTAGTGTGTCCTGTTACTAAGGAAGAAAGAGACTTGTGTTATTTTTTTCTATGACATTTGTGTGTGAGTGTGTAAATCTGAGGACAACTTTTCTGGGTTGATTCTGTGTTTCTGCCATGCTCCATCCTGGGATTGACAACTCTGATTGTCAATCAAAATGTAGCGGCAAGCACCTTTATCCACTTAAGTCATCTTGCTGGCCCAGAGAATGGTTATTGGTGGTATTTGTTTGTTTCTTTGTTTGTTTTTCTTTGAGACAGGGTTTCTCTGTGTAATAGCTCTGGCTGCCCTGCAACTCACTTTGTGACCAGGCTAGCTTTGAACTCACAGAGATACATCCCGAGTGCTGGGATTAAAGGCGTGCAGCACAACTGTGAGGCTTCTTAAGCAGTTTTTTTGTTTTGTTTTTGTTTTTTTTTTTTTAATGAGAAAATGCATCATCTTGCATAAGCCCAGAAATCAACCAGTTTCAGGTCAAGGGCCTAAGTCTTTCTCATTATCCCTCCATTCTTTATGCCCTCGTTTTATTCTCAAATCTCCAGTCCTGGTCAAAAGATGGCTGTAGCGCTTTCACCGGCCCATTCTACAGTGCCTGGAAAGAGATCGGAGGGCCTTCTGTTGGAAGAAAAGAGCTGCTACTGCAGCTGCATGGGCTGGCTGGAGGGTCTAAGGCAGCCTCCTGCACCGGAAGGACTTGATAGGGATGGTCGAGAGGCTGGGACCTCGTTCTGCATTGATGTCATCTCTCAGTGATCTGACACAGTCTACTTTCTGCCATAGCAGGGGTCCAAGAGAGTAAGCACATACTTACCAAACCTCTGCTGGCCTCCCAGTGACCCAAGAGATGGTGTGGCCTATACAGGAGGGCCTAAAGTCCTGGGAGTGAGCCGGGTGGTGGTGGTGGTGGTGGCGGCGGCGGCGGCGGCGGCGGCGGCGGCGGCGGCAGCAGCAGCGCACGCCTTTAATCCCAGCACTCGGGAGGCAGAGGCAGATGGATCTCTGTGAGTTCGAGGCCAGCCTGGTCTACAGAGCGAGTTCCAGGAA